ACTGATCACATCTGTCTGTCTAGTTTTCGAGGTGCTATTACAGGGTCCTCTTTGCAAAAAATAAAAAATGACTGACAAGAAGCAAAACGGAGATGCGAGGACAGACTCAAGTACGGTAGAAGATACTATTGACTTTACCTATAAAGAGAAACCATGGAAACTGCCGACAGTCTTAAGATGGAGAAATATCATAGCATTTATCCTCCTACATCTGGGAGCACTTTACGGACTGATTCTCATTTCCTCCACATCGCCTTCAACTCTTGCATGGAGTGAGTATTCAGGAAATCCAGGGGCATGCTTGGTTGTACGCTTACATATGGGAAAAATGGATCCTCTGATCCTCTCTAGCTTTATAAATTTCAGAGGTTACTTTTAAAAGTAACCTCTGGCACATGATAAAAAGACAATATCTGCATATCTTCAAACTAAATATCATAAAAAAGGAAGCCAACCTGACACGTTTTAAATAACTGAATGGCCATTTAAAACGAGAAAAGTATTTGGCTACTGCTTTTACAGAGGTGTTCACACTGGCTGATCTGTTAATCAAGTGCTTTTTAAATTTCTAACCAATCTCAACTTTGTTGACCTACATAAGTTTACCCTCCCTTTGCAATGGTGAGTCGAACATGTTTTCCGCTATGGAAGATGAAGGTAATCAGTGTTCAAAAGGGGCATCTGATTGTAAACGGTGTGGCATTCATTAGTTTTAGAACAAAAAAAGTGTGAGGGTAGGCCTGCACGTTTTTATAAAAAGAACACACTTTACCCCTAACTCTGCTCTCATGAATAAAATTAATCTTCCTTTCCAGCTGCATTTTGCTACATCTTCAGTGGTCTTGGTGTGCTGGCGCACACAGATTATGGAGCCACAGATCCTACAAGGTCTCCTTTCCCCTTTCCTACCTTTGCCAATTCCATGGCATTTCAGGTAAAGAAGATTTAAGCGCGTTACATGTTCTCCCCGTTTATAGCTCGGCTGCAGGTACACTTTTGAAATAAGATGAAATATTTGCACTTTTTAATTTTGTTTTTACTGTATATTAAATTAAATACTGTAATATAGTAAGAAAATATTGGGTTTTTTTTTTTGTCATAAAACATTGATGTACCTAAATATTTAATATTAAGTTACAAAACATAATTGCGGATGTGATGCTTCTTTTGAACACTTGTACATAAAGTAAAATGCAAAGTCTGAGATGTGGTATACTT